GTAGTCGATCTGGAACCAAACTACCCACCCTCAGGATACATTATAATCCATCGATGATCGTTCTTCCAGTAATTCCTTCTCAGATGCGATTTGAACTCCTCCAGCACTTGTTTTCGCTTGGAAGCGCCACCACTCACAAAATAATTGCCGTGTATAATCCACATCACACCTAGCGGTGTCATTTTCCAAATATTATAAATCACCCACATATACTGCAATCACCCACAAATTAATGCATATTTAACACAACAAACATCGAGGTGCATAAGTGCATACCTTGGATACAGGGAAAAAAACCAAAAATTAACATATTTTTTCTCTTCTCTTTCCGTTCACTTGAAAGTAGACAATAACGCGCTTAATTCATTGCCTACAGCAGTTGCTTCACTGGCAACTTTACTGCTTGATGAGGAAATAGTCTTGAAGGAGTACCAAACGTGGAAAAGTGAAAAAGTGTTTGTGGCCACGGGCAAATCGACGCCCTTAACTTTTACAATTCCAGAAGGAATATGCATGTATGCAAGTGCACAGATGTACATGTTACGCAGTAGTGCGAATTTCATTTGCATTAAATGAACATAGAGTTACTCCAAAAAGCAACGCACTTTTTCAACAATGCTTCCTTTGTTTCGTAAGGCAGACATGATAACAAAATGATCAGCAAGGCCCAAATGATTTGCAAGGAACAACACTCGCTTTTCCGACAGCTGAAAAATGTTGACATGTGTACCGTCATCAACGATGCAACTCGAAAGCACAAGCACGCACCCTTCAAAATGCATAAAATAACTGCTTCGTGCCAAAACATTCCCAGCGACGTAAAAATTAGAAATAGGAGGGAAATTAAAGCGATGAGAATCCGTCTAGAAAGTTAAGTTTTAGGAAGCCCTAACTGGACGGTGAGAGAAAAAGCGGTGCAAGTCCAACTCTAAAAACATAGACTGGGATCTCATGTACGTCTATGTTTTTCGTACAGGCAGGTGGGATTTTTGGTGGAAAATTTCGTAGCTCGGGAACGCATATTTTGCACCTATTGGGCAGTAAAGCAGTGAATATTCTTAAAAGAAAACTGTTGAGACGCTATAGCGTTGCACGGCAAAAATGCATAGAAAGCGGAAATGCAAAAATATCTTAATCGTCTAGTTCGTCAAAGAAAGCATCCATTCTGCCTTAATATCGACAATGCGATGTTTTTCTTGACGTATTCAGCAACATGTTTTTAGCATTTTAGCGTTTGAA